ATACACGTACACACACGCGCGCGCACGCGCACTCACACGGAGCCAGTAATTCAGCAGCAGGTTTGTTCCAGTTTAGTGAAGCACACTGGGTGGGTATTAACTGGTCCTGGCCAACCCTACTCTAACTAGATGGCAATCTTTCCTGCCTGAAACCCACATTTTAAAGGTTTTTTTTTTTTTTCTTTCTTTTAGGTCACCTAAGTTCACATCAGACTGAAGTTACTATGTAAAGACTCTCTCTCTCTCTGGGCACACCACTCTGGTTTAAAATTACACTTCATCAAGAGGTTTAAGAAACTTAATGAAAATGTTCAAAAGTTTCTCTGAATACAAAACTCAGGGAAGGCAGAGACTGCACAGGGCAGCCTTGGGAAATGAGTGGATTTAAAACAGTGAAAGTCCCAACCCCTCCCCCCACCCCACCCTCCCAACCCACCCCACCCCACCCCCGTTTGAATGCTTGGGATTCCAGAGCGTTTATTCCCCCCCCATCTCAGAATGCAATGTCTAGGTGGATTTCTTGTCAATTCCTTAAAAACCTTAGGGCCAAGGATGTGGCATTTATACCGTGTATCAATAGCTGAACTCCCGAGATTTTTTTAAATTCATTCACTGGGAATGAAGAGAAACCTGGGGCGAAGGGCAGACAAACGCTGCTTGCTTATTGCCGGGCCTCCGCATCCTCGGTGTTTGGAAGAATTACTACAGATGTAAAAAGGAGTAAGGGACTAGATAAACGGAAGGCAGCCTGACCTCAGAACACACATACAAAGGTGTCCTTCAGTGCTCACACTTCCAAAAGTGAAAAATGGGGGTGGGTCTGGAAAATTCCTGGGTAACCAGAAAGCCTAGCCCAAATTCCTTCCTTTTATCGAGTTAAGCCTCTCCCAGTAAGGCCAGAGTAAGCCGCTTCCGGCTTGCAAAGCAAATCAACTTGTTTGGGACCCAGTCACTCTAAACCGCAAGGCTCCTAAGGCCGGCACTGCAGATGAATTATGAACGGAATTAACTCTCCTGACTTGGAATTTCCTCACTTTTACTGGTCTCTAAAGCAGACCTTTCTACATTCACATGCAATCGATGGAACCCGCTTTTCACAAAGCACTCGCTTCAGAATGGTTTTGAAGCCAATGAAACTCAAACGCGAACTTCTAATGTGGAAAACATGGTTTTCCCTTGCGGGTTTGAAGTCGACCTGGAAAAGTGATGAGCTGGCCACGAGATTCCTGTCAGAAACTGAAGCTGAGTCTGTATTTTAAAACACGATTTACGGGGCTTGCTTGCTTCCATAAACCAATCTGCTTCTCATATGCTTAGTCTAGTCACCTTAAAAATACATAAATTCGGTATTTGGTTATTGAGTTTTGAAGTTGCAGGGTAAAATAATTTAGAGACTCATAAATACAGAACACAAGAAAATCCCTCTGTGCAAAGGGGCCTTAAAATGATCATGCGAAGAATAACTGATAGATTTCATGATTTAACCTCAGCTATTAAACCTTTTATACCTTAATATACAGTCTTCAGCATAAACCTTACACTGTCTTAACATTTTCCTACAGTTTGTCATGTCCAAATTGATTTCAATAGTAGTCCAGGTGCAGAAAAAGTGAGGCCAGGATCAATGCCACGTTCTCGAAAGAGAAATGAACTTGGGGTGTTTTTTTCTCTGAGGCACATGTTCAAATCCAGTTCATGGCTATCAAAAGAAGATTAACACATTCACCAGCTTTTTTTTTTAATGTACAAAATACAAAACAGGATAAGATCCAATATTTTTGTCTGATAGCAGATTTAATTAAACATTTGCAGCATTTAAGAGGAAAAACCACTAACTAGAGTACTCATACTGATTTTAAAGCTGACTTTAGAGAAATTAATTACTTGACATTTTTACTGGTCACTTTATTTCAGTAGTAAAATGCCTTTTACAAACTCCTGGCCTTTACAAGTTCTGAACATGTAAGAAGGTCTAAGAATGTTCTTAGTTTCCTCACAGTGCTTTAAAAGACTTCTATCATCTTCACAGATCTGGTTACCTATATAACTTTATATTAATTATTGCATTTTTAGGTAATGAAAAAAAATAGTTCTTGAATGTTTTGTTTTTTGGAGGAGGTGATACAATATGGGGAAACCACTTTTACAGCAGATTCTCGAATCCATTTAGGATATATGCATCACCAAGTTTCCTTACAAAAACATTTGACCTTAAAGTTTTAATATAGATTGTTTTCACAGGCTTGGAAGCTCTCTCTCCATTCAATGTTTTGAATGGGGCTGTATTAGTCTTCTTTACTTAAAATCTTTAAAAAATGATTTCAATAACCCTATGTCTAACTGGAGTGAAGTAAAATGGTTGTGGTATTTTACTATTTATGAATATACTTTTTTAAATTTGAAGAATGGATTTAATCTTAATCCAACCTGTGAACACGGAACAAAATAATGCAAGTATAAAGTTCCCCTTTGAGCTTCACAAAGGAAAGAAACTCAGTTTGCAAATTCGAAGTGAAAACTGTCAGCCTATCCCCTTGGGAGGAGAAATCCTAAGCAGTAAAACCCTTGCGTCTCTGTTTCTGTGGGTGTCTTTGCCCTACTTTTGAACTGGCAGACCCTAGCACACACCCACAGTTGCTGTGCGCAGTGCCACCTGCCCGGTCCCCAAAGGCAGACACACTGCCTCTAAGAGGCACTGTATTTTATTTATAGCCATTCCCTTCGATTCTGTTTGCACTAGCCCTCCAAGTCTTAGATAGCAAAGGCCAAATCACTCGTTTGCTTTTTTAAACCTGATGTAATTCAATACCGTGTTTCGCAGACGGCAGGAAACATTGTCATTTAAAAATAGTTAAAGACCTTTGTCCTGCAGCAAGAAGTGTGTAAAACCAGGGTCGGTCACGTCCTCTGCAAATGCTCTGGAACTGGCTTTGGTACGGGAGCTCTGCTTTTCTAGACAGCTGTAGGGTTCCTATTTGCCCTTGAACACTCACTCACCTTGCCACTTCCTAAGCAACTGTCCTTGCTATCTGGAAAATTGCAACCACAAACCCCTACCGGAACCCCTAGGAACCCCTGATATCGCTTTAGCTCACCACTTCAGGCTTCAGTCGGATTTAACTAAAAGCACATACTTTCTGGCAAAATGTCTAATTCTTACATGCAGCCTTAGACCTTGGAGATCCCTAAGGAGAGATAATGCCACGAAACACGTCACTGCCCACTCATTTCCCATTTCACTAACTTCCAATTAACACCCGGACATGCTCCCTTCAGAGGCAGCATTGCCATCATTTGGGGACTGCAGAAACAGAGGTGACATGTTGATTGTCTGTTGCTAAAAAGCACACTGGGCACCATGACCAATATCCTTCTCCTTGGACGATACAGACACATAACTTTTCAGTCCTCTTTACAAACCTGCGCGTGGCGCTGCGGGGAGGGGAGACGTGGGTGGAAGCCACTTCTCTCTTGCAAAGCGAGGGCGGCCAGCAAAGGTCAGGGCTTTGCGCTCCAGCCTTTTCCTGCCCATCAGGGACCACTCCGAGTAGCGTGGAGAGGAAGGTGTACTCTTTCCCGGGCAGAGCCTCCAAGATGGGCTTTGAGGAGACCTTCCTTCTCCGTGGGCCCCGCCGGTCCATACCTGTCCCGGTAGAAGGGAACCCGATGTAGCTGCCTTCCTGAGCCCGTGTGCCTGGGCAACGACCTGGAGCCTGACGACCGGCCCAGCACTGCAGGGAGGCGGGCAGCGGGGACCCCAGGGTGGTGGGTCACTCTGAGCTCCCGGGACAGGGCTAGGTAGGGGAGACTTCGCTCTGGAGCTGGTGGATGTACTTGTCCCCAGCGGGAACGGACTTGAACCCCCGCCAGTCGCTGGAGAGCCCCGGTGGCCCATGACAAGCTGGACATCGGCCTCGCGGCTTCTTCGGCCTCGCTTTAGGTGGTCGGCCACTCCAAGAGCTCTGGCCTGCCCCCTAACCCCCATGCTTTCCGAGGTTTCACGTCGCGGTGGACAGCGCATTCCACTCCCAGGCTCCTGATCCGAAAGAGGGGACCGAGCGCTGCCTGCGGCAAAGCTCGACCTACACTTCATTTTCTTCCGATTTGGAGAAAATGTCACAAGAGTGGTTGGGGAGGGGGGGAACCCTCGCACTGTAAATATGATTTGGAGGGGGCTAGGAGAGGCGCGCAAGGCCCCGGGCGGCGTGGGCACCCTACTGGAGATTCCCGGTCTCGCAGCGCGCCCTAGTGGACACCCTGGCCCGCGCCGCCGCCCCCCGGACTCTAGCTGGGTCTCCCCGCGCGCCTCACAATCTGCAATATATTATTTCTTGCAAAGTATTGACAATGTGCGAGACTCCGGTAACCCCGGAGCTCTTGTCTGTAATCAGCACATTTATTCACAAGGGGGTGGGGGTCCGAATTAAATCCCCATGACCCTGATTAGGTTACAGTGTCATTTCCCCCTGGATCCTCTTTTAAAGCCACTCCACACTGCTTCTCTGTCTATTACATGCTAATTTAATTTTACTGTGGACGATATTTTCAGCATTTGCTGAGGACAGTAAATTTTGTAGTTTATGTTATTTCACTTTTTATGACTTTTTAACACTTAATAAAATTTTATTAGAGCACTTTTGTGTTTACAAGGCCACAAAACTCTTGGCAGGTTGTCAGAAGTCCTTTTTATTATGATCCTACTGATATACTGCGAGTAATGAAATAATCATGTCCAGAAATGTATCAAAGGCCAGCGGGATTATCCCACTTCATAGCGCCACAGATGCGCCCAGGAGAATGGGGATTGCGGCGGCGGGACAGGCTGGGAGGCGGCAGGAGGAAGGAGGCCGTCCCCGCTCCTTTCTTCACCATTGCTGTTGCTTTCCTAAAAGGCTACATTCGGGGTCATGTGACTTTCCGCGGTCTCAATAAAAAAAAAAAAGAATTTATTCTATTGCAAAATGTGCTTTTCTTTTTATTCTCCTTGTGTGGGCTTTTAAGGCCGTTCTCGTGGCAGTGGAGCCAGCTCCGCGGATCCCTGTCAGTTTTCCTCTCTGTACTAAGAGTACTTTGGTGCCATTTAAGCAGCCGGTGGTGACATTGCTGTGGAGCGTCCAGCTTCTCCAGCTCACCCTGAAGGCTCAAAGAGGGATCCTGGAGGGCACGAGTTGTTTTAAGGTCTGTACCCTCCTGCGAACAACGTTTGCTGTTCGGTTTTATTTTGTTTTGCAAACCAGAAGACTCTGCCTTCTGCCTGACAGCACCACAGTGTTGTCTCTATTTAGCTTTTATTTCTTAATCTTTGAGGGGTTAAGACTTGCAACGAGGAGGACTGAGATACTGCAGTTTTTATTTCCTTTTAAAAGCCAGTTTTCTGTTTCTTTTAAATAGATACATGGTCGTTTGACAGACCAGTGTTAAGTTCAGTCTTGCTACAAAAGAAGGCCATTGCACTTCCTGACTCTGGAAGCAAGGTGGGTGGCTTTGTTTTTTAATTAAATTTTCTGTCTCTGGCTTCATATTTCTCTTTCTGTGATTTCATAAATAGTGTGCCAAAGTGATAAAAGAGATGAGGGTTAGACTCATAAACGGGGTGATTTTGAAAGGGCTGTTGTGTTATGCCCATAACACGTGTTCTTGCAGACTTTGCCTTTGGAGAACTTTGGCAATGGTTTTCAAAATTGTGTTCTGCATGTTTGTGTGTGTGTGTGTGTGTGCGCGTGTGTGCGTCTGCATGTTTCCAGCACATTGAGTTGGGGTTTTGTGTTCTGCCGTTATTTAACATGACCCCTAGGAAATGTGTGTCTCTCTCTGGATCGCCTCCATCACACACTGTATGTTCCTCTTCTCTCCAGATATGTATGCGTCTGCTCTTTGATTTCAACTTCAAGGGAGCAATTTTAGTTTTTGTGTGTCATTTGTTAACCCTGAACAAAACTTGGTGCTTGCTCTAGTAGCCTACTGTGTGTCTTTGATGGTCTAGGCTCTGAAAGGAACACAATGAAGGATTATACTTAGCCTTAAAGAAACTGATGTGCTTAAATGATTTCAGCAATCATTTTGCTCTTTTCATAGATGTTTTCGATGTGCAAGTGGGTCAGATATTTTTTTTCCTTCTTTGCATAATTTCCCTAGCAGTGGAAGGGTCCAGAAAGGAAGTGATGTTGGGTTCTGAGGAAATACTCCTTCATTCCGGTTATAATTGGTGGTTTATGTTCTCTGCCTCTTCCTGGGAGAGATGGAGAGAAGGCTTCAGACGGTGTCGCTCCAAATTTTATAGGGCTTTAAGTAAGAGGATTGATGCCCATGTACGGGGACCAAGAGGAAACTATTCATTTTCCTTCTGTGTCCCAATTCAGGGGGCTTGTGTCGGGCACAATTTAAATAATACGTCACAGGCTGCAACCATTTTCAAGTCAAAAGTTGGTTTTATTAGATTATGAAATTATGAAGCAAATCTCTTTTGTGGCAGACATGTTTTATACATTGGAGTTTTGCAACTCTGATTTCAAAGAAGGGTGGTGTGTTGGCTGAAATAAAATAGCAGATGACCCCAAGATGATCAGGAGATCTTTCCAGCATCCACAGAGATGCTGCGATCCCTTCTGGAGCCTTCAGCACAGAGAAGAGAGGAAAGAGGGAAGCTCAGTTCCTTCATCCAGAAAACCCATCTTCAGAAAGTTGAGTCAGGGAACCACGCTAGAGGCCCGGAAGGGTCCCCTTGTCAAGGTCAGGTGCTGGCAGAGGGCAGGTGGCTTGACTCCTGGGTGAGCTCCGGAAAGCCCCCAGCTGACTGTACATTTTGTGTGTGGTGTCGGATGTGCCAGACTCTTGATTACTTTCTTTGATCTGTAAGATGGGACTGATGTGAACGGCTCCCACTTCATTTTGTGACTAGTTAATTCCTATAGAGTAATTTAAAAGGACCCAAAATGTACCTGAAAGCACGCCCTGGGAAGACTAGCCTCCCACAGACTCCACCTGGCACAGAGTGAGCTAGTAGATGGGGGTTGGATGCTTGCTGCCAAGGGCTGCTTCCTAGACTGTTTTGGTGGAAGCAGCTGTGGTCACCAGGCAGTAACAGAGGCGGTATGGCCCTCACAGGGGCCCTGGTTCTTCTAAGAGTGGGTAGTGTACTATTCAGGGTTCTTTAGAGGAAGAGAACTTATAGAATATATCAGGAAGGGACTGTGACGTCCCTGTGACTACTAGTAAGACCCCTGCTGACCGTACTGGGTCATTCGTTATCATAGTTCAGCCAATCTTTCTCTGTCTATTTGAAATAAGAATAACCAAAACTCAAATGTATAAAAGATACACCACACAGCCCAGAGTATGCTATATTGTAATCTGCTGCTGCTGGTGTGTGTGTGTGTATATGTGTGTGTGTGTGTGTGTTTTATTGGAACAGTAGTAGACTAGCTTACAGGCTGTGGTCCAGCTATGCAACAATGGCTGTCTACAAAGGAAGGTCCAAGAATTCAGTAGTGGCCCAGTCCACAAGGCTGGATATCTCAGCTGGTCTTCAGTATATGCCAGAATCCCAAAGAAGTAGACCCCAATGCCAGTGAAGGAACTGACTTGCCAGCAAGGGCGGGAGCAAGCAGGTGAGGAGAGCACGCTTCCTTCTCCCACATCTTATATATAGGCTGTCAGCAGAGGATGTGGTCCAATTAAGGTGGCTCTTCCCACCTCAAAATATCTGGACTAAAAGTGGGTCCTCCTAGTCCAAATGATTTAATTAATAATAAAATCCCTCACAGATGTACCCAGTCACGTGGGTTTGAGTTAATTCCAGATGTACTCAGGTTGACAACCAAGGCCACATTGCTGGACAGGTTGTGTTCAGATGCTCTCTTTCCTTTTTATATGTTTCGCTGGGGTCTCAATTACCAATCATAAAGCTAGAAAGTTGTTGAGGGAACAGATTCCAAAGTCTGTTTCTTTGTTTTGGTCCTTATATGAGCCAATGTGGTGATTGACAAGACAATCTAATATGGCGCAGCTCAGAGAGCAGCTACATCACAGTGCACAGCTCAGAGCACCACATCACAGTGCACAGCTCAGAGTGCAGCCACATCACAGTGCACAGCTCAGAACACAGCCACATCACAGTGCACAGCTCAGAACACAGACACATCACAGTGCACAGCTCAGAGCATCACATCACAGTGCACAGCTCAGAACACAGCCACATCACAGTGCACAGCTCAGAGCATCACATCACAGTGCACAGCTCAGAGCACCACATCACCATCACTGCTTGGTGCACAGCTTGCCCGTCCCTTTGCATACATGGCCTCACTTCTTCACTTTTCATGCAAGCAGTTATCACGACTCCTATTTAACGGGTAAGGAATACGAGACCCAGAGAAGTCAAATGGCTTTCATAAGGTCACACAGCTACTAAGTGGCAGACCTGGGTTAAAATACAGTTAGCAATACATCTCCCTGTAATGTGTTTGGTTTCCTGGATTCTTTAGTCGATTTGGCCATTTCTAAGTATTATATAAACTAAAAAGAAATAGAAATGATGGAGGTTGGAACCCAGGCCCACTGTCTTTGAATCACCTTGAATTTCTCAGGGAATAGAGTATTGGACATGGAGGTAAAGGTGCAGGCCTACCTCAGGGCCTTGCTCTGCCCCAGGGCCTTGCTCTGCCCCAGAGCCTATCCTCAGATCACAGATGTTCAGAAGGAGGCAGAGAAGCGAGAGGTATGTTTTCCTTCTTTTGAAAAACTGGAATTATTAGTTTTTAGAACTATAGTGACTTACAATTAAAGACCAAGAAGCTGCAGGTGGGTGGCTGAGCAGTTTTTCATTTTCACCTGGGGTTCTTCAGGAACTTTAGAGGTGGGATTCTGACTAGTTCAGGAGATAAAAAAAAAAAAAAAAAAAAAAAAAAAAAAAAAAAAAAAAAAAAAAAAAAACNAAAAAAAAAAAAAAAAAAAAAAAAAAAAAAAAAAAAAAAAAAAAAAAAAAAAAACAGCCTAAGACAAAGAGGAAAGCCTCAAAACCTGCACAAGCTTACTAGTGAGCAAACAGAGTCACATGTGAGGGTTCTGACTGAAATACATGGCTAGTTTTGCACCTCTGAATAAAGGTGCATAGAACCCCCCAAAGATAGCTAAGAAGCCCATGAGTCTTTCCAGGGATTGTCCAATACCCTCGAAATAAAGAATTCATCCAGGGATAAATTTTGCTGGGCGGAAGATGAAAGCCCATAGCGCCGGCATGCCGTATCCTGAACTCCGTGGGGAAGGCGGAGCTGTGAGCAGGTGTTGTGGTCCACAGTGACCCTCTGCCATGGCCCAAATCATCAGAGTCATCTTTGACTTGTCTGTCAGCAGGGACGGAGGAAAGGGGGGGGGAAGAGGAATGAAGGCTACTTTCAACAAACTTGCCGTGTCTACACGAGGACCACGGTAACTGAACGAACCTATCTGCAGCTGACCCTGAGCTCAAACCAGGGAAAGAGGATGTTGTTGGCTGCACTAGGAAAGGATGCTAGGTTGCCATCTTCCTGTCTCCTATGAGTGTGAACAGTTAATTCAGCTTTTTCTGTCTTGGGATTTTCTTTCTGAGAGAGAAAAATAATTAGCCTTCATTATAAAATCCCAAAGAAAGTCTATTCTACAACAGCGAGAAATTTAGGGTCTTGATAAATGTGAGAAAACTGGAGATGCCAATGCTAACGCCAGTGCCAGCAAGATAAAAACCACGGGGCTGGAAACTGCCAGGAAGAGCAGAAAGGGAGGAGACACTCAACTCACATGGCAGCAGATACCTTATGCCATCATAGCTCTTCCGGGTCTTGAGCCATTTTCTTCAAACTGGACTTCCCTTTCATCGTGCATCGACGGACCCGCCAAGTCAGACGTTATTGCCGTAACAGGGGCTGAGTGACAAGCGCACCTCTAGGGAAAAAGGTCTGAGTACTTTTTGATTATTGGATGGAAAGGATGCAAGCTTTTCCCCTTTTATGTGTCTTTCAAACCAACTGCCCTGATGTACGTAACATCTTTTAAAAATGTACCTGCATCTTTGCAGGCTAAGACCAAGTATTGCTTAAAATATGAAAGTCATGACCCATTGCTAGAAGGATGTTACGGGTGAGACCACACCCCAGCTCTCATGGAGGCAGAGGGCCTGGAGACCGTAGTCCTGAATGTTACCTCATCAGTAAGGCCAGTAAGGAAAACCATGCCCACAAGGCAGCCAGCACAGCCAGCTCCCAGGACAGGAAGCCGGGGAATCCTGTTGCTAGGAGACGCTTGTCTTTGCCCGGCAGCAGGAAGATGTCCTTGAGCATGGCTTCCCCTGCAGTTGGCTTTAGACACGCTGTGAATCAGACTGTCCTTGTTAGTGGCATCCTCTCATCAGGGCCAGCTCGTCCACCCAGGACCAATGGTCGGTCTTGATCCCCTGGAAAGTTTCTTACCTGTACTGCACCTTGCTGATGCTGCCTTCTTA